TTCTTTTTTCTTAAATTAAGAAATTACATTCTGTTATGATTCTGTGGTTAGGTTATTAGCATGATATTCATGCTAATCACGTGCGCATAAATTAAAATGGCGTCAAACCACAAACCCACGCGGTGGCTGCAGCTGGATTTTGTCTTCCATTTTGTTCTCTGTCCTCGCTTCTTTTTGAAACTACCTTTGTGGTCCTTGACCCAAGCCCAGAGGAGTGATGTAAAAGTCACCTTGAGCTGTTCTCTAGTTTAAGAGATTATCCGGTGTATAGAAGAAAGATGAAAGAAGAAGAAGAAAAAGTCTGAAGAATTTTGTAGAAATTTGAATTTGGGCCTGTTTTCCAGAAATGCTCCCGCTACATTACAGTTCACTTTAAAGGTGCCAGGAGAATCGCTCAGTGAAGGAGAGCTCATCTAAGCCATTTATAAGGCTGTACAACGTAAGATAAAAGAGTTATAAGTGTTTGAAAATCATAAAAACGGACGCCATCTTGAAAAATCAACCTCAATCCTACATATAGGCTACCGCCTATATAATGTATACACATGCGTACTTTTATTTTCCAAACACAATTCCTCATTTGTACACACACATATACACCTACAGCTTATTAAGAGGTTTGCACCTTGTTCCAAAGTACACATAAAGTGATATTTAACATAATTATCACATGCTCATTAGACAATTAATGTGTTTTAGGGTTGATGAAAACTTGTCTGTGAAAGTTGCCGACTTTGGTTTCTCAAGAGATATTTCATGTCCAGCAATGAGTGGTCGCGGATTAGTATACTGAGCAATTATCTCCGTATACTACTGGTTGACTTTATACAGGGCAGGAATGGACATTTCCATTTACTAGGCTATATCTTTCTTCAGAATAAGTCTCATCAATTTGTGCACTTCAGTAGTTGTTCTCCATAATTATACCTGTGTTCCTGCTAAATATGACAGCACTTGGAGTAACTTTGTGTGGAACATTTGCAGATTAAAGATGAGGGCAGTCAGTGCCGCCATTTTGTCATTCCTTTATGTATGTATGTATGATAATTTTTTTACTTTTTGAATGGTTATATCTAAATTTCAAACAATTTTTGACAAATTGCGCACTTATTTTGTGAAAGTACAACATTTTTACTGCCCAATCATGCAAAAAAGATAAAGAAATTCAAAACTTTGTTCGGTACTTTAGTCTTCTAAAGGTGAAATAATTTTAGTTGTCTCAGTGATAACGGGTGCAGCAACAAGAGTGAACAAGTGCTTTTCTCTTCTCACGGGAATAATAAAGTAAAACTAAGAGTGCTTAACAGCTATACAAGCAAATCATGTCTCTAGATCCTTTTAAAGTAATAACAAGAAGGCCTTTTGTTAGTGGATGAGTCTTCTTGCGCCACGCCTGCCACTTTAACAATAGAATATGAAAAAACTACCATAACCAATTGCATTAAGTAGCATTCAAGAAGCTCCAAGTATCTAGTGAGGTCCCATCCATGAACCAGAAATACGTTAGCAGGCTTTGTAGTGAAGCTTCCTATCAATCCACCATTGCTGAGCTGCCGTTGCTATGGTAATTCCAATGAATATCATTAAATCAATGCGACCGGAAGTCCCATTGCAATAGCTGGACATGTATAATCAAGACTATTATCGTCTTCAGCGTCGAACTATGCTACCAGTAAAGTGGCTGCCACCAGAGAGTCTCCATGATAATATATACAATGAAGAGACTGATGTGGTGAGATTTCATGTATTTAGTACATGTCATACTATTCCATTGTTATATAGT